GGTGACCCCTGTGAAAGGGTCGTTCGACCGCCAAAAGGGTCGCGACCCACAGGTTGAGAACCACCTCATCAAGGGTGTTTTAAAATACTTGGGTGTCAGGGTATAAAAAGTAATATAAAATCGTATCTATCAATCACACATGTTAAACATGGATACCAATGTCGTCTGAATGAGTACAGGAAGTTTTTCAAAGAAAACACTGTTAATTTCTAAATAAGAAATTTAAAAGAAAAATTAAATTAAATAATAACTTTATGTCAGTCGATCCTTTTTCATTCATGAAAGACTGCAGCTAGAGCTGGGTATACAATTCTAGAAGATCCAGAAAATTTTTGAGAAATGATCCATGGTGGGAAATTAGCAAACAAAACAGTCATCTGATGACCGGGGAGGTATATATTCCATTTACATATGATGCCATTTGCAGGATTCATAGTCCTTAAATCTTTCCCATAATACTTGGAAAGAAGTGTGCTTACTAAAATCCAGAGGCAAACATCCCCCGTGCCGCCACTTGCTACCTGCATGGTCTTGGGCAAGAAATTTGACTTGTGCTTCAATTTCCTCATCTGATGATAAACAAGACCACCTCATCAAGGGTGTTTTAAAATACTTGGGCCAGGGCAAGCATATAGTAATTGCTCAATAAACTGTAATTAACATTATGAAATTTCCAAAATACAGTAGTCTCTTGTTCTGGTAGAGCACTAGCCAATCAAAAAGTGTCTTGAAAAGTTAATATTCATCAGTGCTATGTTATTCAGAACTTTGTAATATGGTGCACATTTTTAAATAAAATATATATTGCCTGGCTTTTGAGCAATCAATCAAAAACCACACAAACAACATTTAACCAATTCTTGACTTTTTCTGAATGATCCAGTCATCTTAATGAAAATACTTTATTTTTAATACTACAGTTTTGTGGAGGAACTAGTTGTGCTTCATAACAGTGAAGTAGGAGAGTTCTAATAATATTTCAAACTTCATCTACTTGGGAAAGAATATCTTTCTGGCAATATCAAAGTTAACATTCTTAGGGGATGTATTTGCTCAGAATAAAGAAATGCCTATAAATGATAATAAAAGAAAGTTATCAATTATTTTTATTCAAAATTCCCTATTTTAGTGTTTTTCTTTAAACAAATGGAATTAAGATATTTCAGATCATCATTAATATGAACCATTAGTTATGAAACCAAAACATCACTGGTCTTTAAAAAATTGTTTCAGACTATTCTCAAAGGAATCAAATGGGGGGAAGGAGAAATTAGAACAAAATGCATACAACAATATATTAAAATAAGAGCGTTTTCATAGTTAAGAATGATTAGACCCACGGGGATGATGAAAATACAATTATTTGAAAGTAATATCCCTCCCGCTCTTGGCAGAGTGTTACATCTGAGGCTGATTTCTCCAAATGCGGATGCTGCAATAACCTTCTCTTCTCTCTTCCGTTAATTCCTTCTTCTTTCTGCCCATCCTCCAGGCTTCAATGGCATCCCAACCACCGTAAATGTTAAGAACTGACCTGTTGTGCTTTAACACAGACCTAATGTGTCACTCCCATATGAGAAGATCTATTCTAATGGGGGTGGGGGTGATAGGCACATAGACAATTAAAGAGGTGTGTGCGCACGTGAATGCATGTGTGAATACATGGATGTGTATGCAACACACAAAGTACGAAGAGAGAATAAACCAGAGCTCAACCATTTTGCCTAACATAAATCAAGGAAGGCTTCATATAACTGGTGACAGCTGGATGAAAAAGTGCCTACAAAAGAGATTCAAAGCTCCAGGCCAGAAGCACCCATTACAGAGCCTCAATCTGCTATGTTCCAACTGCATCCCACACTCTCCTCACATGGATGTCCTCATTCTCTAAACACAGTGGACACTGCTATCAGCTGGCTCTGTTCGACCCTCTCTCTTGAATCCCTTTTTCATCTTCCCCACTTTGAAAGTTTTAAAAATATGATACCCTCCCACCCAGACGTTCCACTTCTACTTATGTTTCCTATACAGTTAAATCAATGGCGTCCAAACCACCATGAATATTAGAAACTGAATCAAAAGACTTTAGACTTTACAACTGTGAGCAGGAAGACAATGCTAATTCAAAAATTCTGAAAGACAGTGATTTTCAATTTAAAATTTAATTATTCAGGCAACATATCAATCAAGTGAGAAAACTGAGTAAATATATTTTTTTCTTTCTCACACACCCTTTCTTAGGAAAGGTTGAGCATCGAGCTATGAACCAGGAGGCCATGTTTGATTCCTGGTCAGGACACATGCCCAGGTTGCAGGCTTGATCCCCAGTCGGGGATGTGCATGAGGCAGCCAATCAACAACTCTCTCTCATTATTGATGTTTCTATCTCTCTTCTCTCTCCGAGAGAGAGAGAGAGAGAGAGAGAGAGAGAGAGAGAGAGAGAGAGAGACTAATAAATGAAGCAGCACAAATTCCATAAACAGAACTTTTCTGGGAAAAAGGCAGAAAACTCCACTCATTATAACATGCAAAGAATTCCTAACTCTTTCCTATATAAAGGAACCAAAGTTCAGTCCACTTGATTAAAAGTCATAAAAGAATTCAAAGAGCCGAAACCGGTTTGGCTCAGTGGATAGAGTGTCAGCCTGCGGACTGAAAGGTCCCAGGTTCGATTCCGGTCAAGGGCATGTACGTTGGTTGCGGGCACATCCCCAGTAGGAGGTGTGCAGGAGGCAGCTGATTGATGTTTCTCTCTCATCGATGTTTCTGACTCTCTATCTCTCTCCTTTCTTCTCTGTAAAAAATCAATAAAATGTGTTTTTTTAAAAAAAGAATTCAAAGAGCTCATCTTGGTGGAGCTATTTTCTCTATGATAACAACCACTACATTTCAGCATGCATTTAGAATAGATCATGTGTGAGTAAGAGGAGCCACAAAGAACAGAAAGGTATGAAGAGCTATTTTATCCACCCTCACTGTCCCATCCCCAAAGGTCTGAGCAGGAGGGCATAGGACAAGGCACATAGCCTTCACAGAGCAAGGTTAAATTGTCTTTTGAGTGATAACTATGAAATGAGGAAGAAATTAAATTCTAATGGGATTGGATCTGTAGACTTTTATTTCTCAAATTGTTTATCAACTTTTAAAAGCAAACAAGGATATAACAGTTTAACTACAAAAGGGTAAAGGATAATTTGCTTTACAACATAATGTGTCATGAGTTAATCTATATATTAAGTTCCATACGATACTGATGTACGTTATTACAGAGAGGAGACAAGGCAGGAAATCTTAAAACCAAAAATGGTGCATGATCCCAACTGAACTTTATTTGAGCATCTCAAAAATTTTACTACAATAAAACATATTGTTTACTTTACAAAATATCAATTTACCATCCATTTTTAATACCATACCTTCTGCATTTAGCAAAACACACTACTAAGAATTCTAGAAAATACAAACCAATTAACAATATAGAAAGCAGATCAAGTGCCTGAGACCTGAGATGGGGGTGGGGGTGGGGGAGAGGTTGATGTCAAGTGGGCACAAGGGAACTTGCCGGGTGACAGAAATGCTCAGAATCATAACAGTGGTCACAGTTACACAGCTGTATGTTTTTGTCAACGTTCATCACATTGTTCACTAAAATGGGTACAACTTATTATAAGTAAATTATACCTGAATAAAATTGAAATAATAATATACTCATAACAGTTGGTCATGGCTGATAATCATTCCAATTACCTAAAGACTTTTTCTTTTCTTTTTTTTAATTGATGTTAGAGAGAAAGGAAGGGAGAAATATCGATCTGAGAGAGAAACCTCAATCGGCTGCCTTCCATATGCTCCCCGACTGGGGATCAAACTTGCAACCCAGGTATATGTCCTGACCAGGAATTGAAACAACGACCCTTCGGTGCTGACACTCAGCCAACTGAGTCACACCAGCCAGGGCTTACCTGAAGACTTTTATTGCAAATTTATTGTTTCTCACACAAAAGTTTAAAGATACCATCAGTAGAAACCAGCAAAGTGCTAGCAATAGTTTCCAGTTATCAGTCATCATAACTTTAATGGGTTCAATGCACTGCCATCTACACTGTACTTACCACATATTACTTTATGTTACTTTAAATTTTTTTCTCCTGAATTAGGCTTTAAGAAAAAAAAAAAGTGCCATGTATGTATAAGCATCTTCCAAAATCTAGCTCAATTCACTTCATAAACTAAAGTGTTTGTATACACTGATTTCCACCATAAAAAATTTCAAACAAGTAATTATGTCTTAACACTAAACAAGCAATAGTTTTTTAAAAAATATAACAATAGCTATAATGATTCCTCATACTGGACAATGTTACCTTAGAAGATTAATACTTTTCATAGTCATATTTAAATAATTATTTCATATTTGAAAAAGTGAAATTCTTTAAAAGGTATTAAGTAATCAACATGAACTTACAAAAAAGCTACTGTATAAAACCCCAGTTTTTTAAAGTAGAAATATTATTTTATTTATTTCCATAGTGACAGTTACCATTATATACAAAATTTACTAAAATGACCACCAATAATGTATCTATTTCTAAAAATAACATGACATATTTCACACTTAATAATAGAAATTGGTGTAAGATTACTTGATTCACAAATCTTAAAAAAAAGCACTTGAGCAGTTTACTAATTATTGTTTAAAAAGTTAATTACACAGTAATAAGACAGTGTGGTGCTGGAGAAAGAACAAACAAATAGATCGAAGGAACAGGAGAGAGCCAGAGATAGACCTATACTAATAGAGTCAACTGATCTTTGACAAAGAAAGGGTCAGATTTTTTAACAGATGGTGATGGACATCTACATGCAAAAATCTGAATTTAGATATAGACCTCATACTCCTCACACAAAAACACAAAAACTCAGAGTGGGTCATAGACCTAAATTTAAAATGCAAAACTATAAAACACCTAGAAGATAATATATAAGACAATGTAGCTGACCTTGATTTGGCCATGACTTTGAGATATAACACCAAAGGTACAATCCTGAAAAAAAAAAATGATAATTTTGATTTCATTAAAAGTAAAAACTTCTGCTTTTTAATTTTTTTTTGGGGGGGGGGACTTTAAAAGGCATTGTCAAGAAAATAAGAAGACAATACACACACTGGGAAGAATATTTACAAAAGACATATATGATAGAGGACTCATCCAAAGCATAAAAAGAACTCTTAAAACTCCACAATGAAGAAAGAACATAATTTAAAAATTAACAAAAAGTCTGAACAGATATCTCACCAAAGATGATAAACAGATGACAAATAAGCATATGTAAATGCTGGACAACATATGTTGTTAGGGAATTGTAAATTAAAACAACAATGAGATGCCACTACACACTTATTAGAATGACTAAAATCCAAAAAAAACACACCAAAAAAACAAAAAACAAAACCCACTGACAAACACCAAACACCGGTACTGAAGAGGATGTAAAGCCACAGGAACTCTCTCTCATTTTTCAGTGGGACTGCAAAATAGTACAGCCACTTTGAAAGACAGTTTGGCAATTTTTCACAAAACTAAAACTGATCATACTCTTCCCATACAATCCAGCAATCATGCTCCTTGGTATTTATTGAAATAATTTGAAAACATATGTCCACGCAAAAACCTGCACACAAAGGTTTACAGCAGTTTTGGTCAGAACTGCCAAAACTTGGAAGTAGCCAACATGTCCTTCAAAAAGCAACAGATAAGAGAAAGACATGATCTCACTTATTTGTGGAATCTAATAAACAAAATAAACTGATGAACAAAATAGATCCAGGGACATGGAACCATGGGACAGACTGACGAATCTCAGAAGGGGAAGAAAAAGGAGATTAACCAAAAAGCTTATATGTATATCTGCATAACCCATGGACACAGACAGTAGTGCAGGAAAGGCCTGGGGGCTGGGGGAGGGAAGGAGGGGAGAAGTGAGTCAATAGGGGGGGAAAGGTGACATGTATAATACTTTCAACAACAGAGATAATTTTTTAAAAAATAAAAAGTAACTGGATAAACAAACTGTAGTACACCATATGATGGAATATTATTCAGCACTAAAATGAAATGAGCTATCAAGCTATAAAAAAATTTAAATGCATATTGCTAAGTGAAAGAAGCCAATATGAAAAGGCTACCTACTGTATGATTCCAACTACATGACATTGTAAAACAAGCAAGGCTATGGAGATAATAAAAACACCAGTAGTTTCCAGGGGTTCTTTGGGAGAGTGGGCAGATGGGATGAATAGGTAAATCACAGGAGATATTTAGGGCAGGGAAGCTATTCTACATGATACTAGAAGGGCATTCATTGCACATTTATCAAAACCCATAGACAGGGGTGGGGAACATCCAACCATGAAATAATTTGTTCTGGCCCTACCAGGGCATTAAGGGTGAGTTAATTAAATGTTTGCCCAAATACAGCAGGCTAATTTTTAAGCTGATGATTTTGTATGGCCTGTGAATGATGTTAAAACATATCCTAATGGCCCTTGGCAGAAAAAGGTTCCCCATTCCTGCCATAGAAGGTCTAATTTAAATTAGAGTGTACCCTAATTAAAACTAAGACTTGTTGATCATGATGTGTCAATGTTGGTTCATCAATTATGGTTCATCAAATGTGCCACTGCTGGGGATTTGATGGTAAGGGAGGTTGGGAAGGGGTGACCCTTCATACTTTCCATTCAATTTTGCTGTGACCCTAAAACTGCTCTAAAAATTAAAGTCTATTCATTATTTTTTATTAATACATAAAATTAAATATTAAGCAAGTTTAATTTAAACATGTAATTTTAAAAACAAAAATTAAAATGTAATAGGAAGATCCTTTCCCACTGGCTTCTTAACTATTTTCACAAAGAAACTACCCCAAATTCTTGACCATAATATTTTTTTACATATTTATTGATGAGAGAGAGAGAGAGAGAGAGAGAGAGAGAGAGAGAGAGAGAGAGAGGTGGATTGGATGTGAGAAACATCAACCAGATGCTTCCCATACAAT